GACAATTTTTTTATTTTTAATTCATTAAGTGATCATTGCATTTATACAGCACCTTTCAAGACACCCAAAGTGCTTCACAGTTTATTGATCATTCACTCCACACTCAGTGGTGGCAAGCTACTACTGTAGCCACAGCTGCTCTGGGGCAGACTGACGGAAGTAAGGCTGCCAATCTGCACCATCGGGCCCTCCGACCCCACCAACACTCATGCAAACACCACTTTCTTGCTAGGCAATGTAAGTGAAGTGTCTTGCCTAAGAACACAATGACGGCCACTGGCACCCCACTGTGGCACCTGGAATTAGCTTTGAGAGTAGCAAAATAAAAACACTAGGATCAGGTATAGCGGGTTAATATGAACATTTAAGACCAAAATGAAAAGGCGCACCGCAGCAGTAACTGAGAGAGGGGTCACAATTTGTCAATGTACAGTGAACCGGAGTTGATGGAGCCAGAAGAGTCCCCCATGTTCACTTCCTATTTGGGAACATGGCAGTTAGCGAGTTACCTATGTCCATATAAATATTCAGTCTTTGAGGAGGAGGTAGTAAAAAACATAAAAATAACAAAATCATAAAACATAATCCACAAATGCAGGACCTAATCATTTGCATTGGTAACTAGAATACTAGAAAATGAAACGCAGCCTGCACACATCACCGCCAGAAACAGCCATGAATGAACATCAAATCAAATTATACAAAACATGTATGTGTCTTAGAGAAAATGGACCCAGATATTTTCAAATAATCAAACAATTAAAATGTAATTTATGGTGCCTTTAAAAACTTACATTTTGTCCTGACCAGCTCCCACTCTCAGGGTCAACCGGGGAATGACAGGGGATGGAAGAATAACAGGAGCTTCAGCCTTAACCTGGTGAAGCAAGAAGACTGCAGTTAGCGCCATTGAAACTTATGAAGAAAAATGAATGCTGGGGTTTTATGTTTATGCCTTAGAGGAAACCTTGATGTCTTTCCAGCATTATGTGATTTTCTTAGGCCAAGGGATGTAATAATGTAGTAACACTAGAAAGATTGTGTAGGATGATGCAGCTACTGTGTTTGCTCCCTGTCATGGTAAACAGATTATGCATTGCACAAAAAGGAGGACTACGTTTATAATTCACACACATAATATGTTTTACAGCACAGTTGATGGTTGGATAAGAAGGAGAAAACTGTACTTCTCTGCCACAATACAAACTAGCAATGGGTTCTACATTTTATCATCCAATAAACTCACAAGATATATAGCAAGTTGTTGGGCTGATGCTACTCTAAGCATTTACTTTCATAATAGTTTAGACTATGCCAAGTTTTTATTTACCATTAATTTACTATTGAGATACTGTGTCTTAGATAAACACAATTTGTTGTAGTGTAACACTTTTTTTAAACCCAAGTCAAAAATATAATATAAAAATACAAAAATGTATTTCTGTCAAACAGCTCTTATTTGATCACCTTCTCCAGTCGTATCCTCTCCTTTTCCTTTTCTTTCTCTTTCTCCCGTTTCTCCTTCTCACGCTCCTTTTCTTTCCTCTTCTCCTCTTTTTCTCGCTCCTTTTCTTTGGCCTTTTCCCGCTCTTTGTCCTTCTCCTTGTCCTTCTTTTTCTTTTTCTCCTTCTTCTCCTTTTTCTTGTCCTTGTCTTTGCTCTTCACCTCCTTCTCTTGTAGAAGAGGAGCCAGTGCAGGTAGCATTGGGGGCATCCGGATACAGGCAGCAGGACTGAACAGTGGCGGGACTTCACCAAGGGCAAAGGGAGCCAAAGCAGACGGTTTCTGTCTGTCTTCTTTACTCCGATCTTTGTTCTTTTCCTTCTTCTCTTTATCTTTCTTGCTTTTCTCCTTATCTTTTTTCTTGTCCTTATGTTTTTCCTTTTTAGAACCATCACCATCTCTTGACTTTATTTTGATGGAGGCCTCAGGTAGACCAAACTCATGCAAACCAAAGTCCTCCTCATCCTTCATGCCAAATTCCTTCCACAGCATTTTGCCGTCTTTGGAAAAATCTTTGCTCTTGTCCTTGTTTTTGTCCTTGTTCTTTTCCTTCAGCTTGCTTTTGTCCTTTTCTCGTTCTTTATCTTTTGGTTTATCCTTTTTCTTCAATTTAGTTTTGAGCTCTTTCTTTAGTTTCTTCTTGACATCCACAGAGGACACACCTTTATTCTTGTCCTCAAATGATTTCATGAGTGGTTCAGGTGTCGGCGGAGAGGCAGATCCGGATGATGCATAATCTTCTAGTTTAACAGGTGGAACAGAGGGTCCTCCCTGGTTAACCTTTCTGATCACCTCATCAATAGAAGCATCTAGACTCCAGTTTGCCCCAACTGTATGAGGAGGCAAGTGCAGGGGTGTTGATGTGTCTTTTAGTCCATGGCCCATCCCTATTAAGTGTTTGGGTGTAGAGGGCTCCATGATGGTCAGTCTCCTTGGGCTGGAGAACCCATTGCTGTCAGAATCAGAGCCTGATGAAAAAGCAAATGGGTCAGGCTCCCGCTCAGCACAAGCTCGAGCTATTACCGCATCGATAGAGGCATCTATTGCTGTATTATCAGGTTCTGGTTTTAAAAAGGATCCTTCTGCCAACTCATCTATATTTTGTCGCATATGGATATTTTCTTTGCCCATCCTTTCACTCAGTGCAGATAAAGGTAGTTTCTGCACAATGTCCGTCTTGCTCTGTGGTTGTGAGGCCTTTGTAGAACCAAGTTTTGGACTCTTGGGACTTTTAGGACTTTTAGTTCTACCTGGGGATTTCTTCCTCTCTTTAAACAGTTTGGGAGAACGTATAGGGCTGCCAGCTGCAGGAGCAGAGGTTAGGCCTTTGGGCGATTTAGTCCGTTGTCTACCTGGGGATGACACCTTATTCTTTCTTCCTGGAGTGGTGAGGACCTTTGAATCTGGCTTTGGTACAATGGGAACCAGGGGTCTAAACGAGGGCAAAACTCCTGAGGGTGTTTCAGGGGAAAGGGGATCGATGCTGTCATGAGAAGGCAGTATTCCTGGTGGGACACGCTGTGGGTTCAGAGAGGTTAAAGGTTCCCTGGGTTCACCCCACTCAGGGCTGAGGCCAGGGTGAATGCGTGGTCTCTTAGAGGTAGGCATCATGCCCAAAGCTTCATCGGGACTGTCCAGGTGCCGCTTCAGGGGGTGGTTCTCATCGTTAACCGTCTCATCTTCTTCCATTTCCTCCTCATCCTCCTCCAGTGCTACCTGCATTGCCTCAGCTGAGGTGCCCATGTCAGGTAGGGCCTCCTCCTCCTCCTCTTCTGTAGACAAAAATAGAAAGAAAAAAAAATTGGTAAGCAATATTGACAAGAATTATCTCAATGTTTTTGAAATGTCCTGATCATTTTGATCAAATGGAAATCTATTAGTTGAAGTTTAGGTATGACAAAAAGTGAATGAAAATTGTGTACTAATTGGCAAAAAATATCTCTTGTTAAATTAATTAGAATTTTTTCCCATTTTCATTTTAATAATCTCTATTTGCAGTAATTCTTCTTAGGAACAATATTCTGAATACACAAAAATAGTTGAAAACAACATAAAGAATATAAAGAAAGAAAATAAAGTGTAGTAATGCTCAAGGTTTACTCTAATGCTGTTCATATAACTTCTACAGCTAAATGTATAAAAAATATTTTTGTTCAAGGTCTAATTAAGATCAGTTTTTAAAAGTTACAGAAGTAGACATACATAATAAAGCTTTGCACACATGGTGCAAACGTGTAAATTATAGTAACTTGCCTTCTTGTAGTGAGACCAGCGGGGGCATATAGTCTGGAATGTAATCCTTCCTTTCCTCAGCATCTCGGACTCCAGGCTGGGGAAACTGCAGCACATTGTTTTTGCTGACAGGGAAGAGTGGCATTTGATGGGTGAAACCCACAGCCTCCATGTTGTTGACATAGTCCTCCAGTTCACTGAGACTGACTCCCATGAGTCGGAAGGCCTGACCCAGATCATCCAACACTGGGTCTGTCCTGCCATCTGTAAAGGGAAAAAATAATGGCCACAATAATGATCACTAACTTATATTTTTCTTGTTTTTAATCGTGCCGTGAAAGTGACAATTACAGTGAGTTTCCTTCTATCAGGGTATTCAAAAGTAAGAACAGTCGCTTATAATAAGAACAGTAATAGACAGGAACTACTAGGGGCTACTGTACTTTTGACATATAAAGACAGGCTAGGGGGCGCCAGTCAGTTGGATCGTGATCGTGTATTTGGGGGTCCAAAAAGTAATCGCCATAGTAAATGAGGCACTTACAGAGTTCAGAGTAGCGGTGACAGACTCTGGCTAACTGCTGAATGTATCTGTGCAGCACATCGGACAGCAGATCGCAAGCAGTAAGCTGAACTGCATCCCAGCCCAGAGCCTGGCAGATCTGCGCCACCGAAACACGCAGCAGCGAGCGGGCATAGCTCTCACACATGTCGCTGACTTTGTTACGGTCTGAATCTCGATCAATTCCTTTTCCAAAACATGCTCCGGGTCGTCATGTTTCACAAAACCCCAATGGGGCTTGTAAAAACCGACTAATGCGGTTAATTTTAGGCATCTATTTTAGTAAATAGATTGGCGCTTTTGCCAGAGTCGCCATCTTGATTTCATCGATAAACCCATCCCCGAAATCCACACCACGCATGCGCAAGTGTGAAGTCACTGCCTCCTATTTCCTGATGCCTTCACGTTCACCCAAGTTAGTTGTGTAAATAAAAGTTCTGAATTATTATTGCTCATTTCTACACAGCACTTGCGCAGTTGGTGCCTTCTGGTTATGAGTTTGCCGAGTGGAACTTTGCTACCGGTTAGCACAAGAGAGGCACAGGAAAAGCACAAATGTGTTGTATAAATAGCCTACAACTTTACACTCTACGAGCTCAAACTGAATATGAGATGAGGCTACAACTTTGACGCGTCTGCCCTTCATTATCCCGTTGAAGCTCACTTCTGGTAAAATGGTCCCAACCCAGTAAAACTATCTTACTGAGAAAAAACAATTTTAATGGTAGACAAAGCATGCAAAACTTGAAATATTTTAATTATTTTGTACTTTGGTGATCTTGTAAATTGTGTACTTTTAATTGGATACATTTATGGCAATAAAAAAATAATAATAATCTGACACAAAGCAAGCTTCAGGACATCACTTTTAGCTGTTGAGCAGTAGAAATTGTAACAGAAGGTCAGGAACCAGCTGTTTGCCTCCCACAAGGAACTCTGTCATATTGAAAATATATACTTTTTATTGCAAAACAAACTTCTTTGTCAATACACTTACTATACAAACTCAGGCTTATATTATATGTAAATAAGTACAGATATGTTTAGCTGTACAAAATATTACTGACAATTAAGGCAAACTTCTGGTCAATATTATTTAGTATGTAAAAACTATAATTACAATAAAATAAAAAAAAAGCAATAAAACTGCAATAAACACATTGAACAAAATGCCACAATGGACCATATAGTAAGTAAATAATCACAATTGTCTGATTTATTCCACTATCTGAAAACGATAGTGTTTCTCATCAACAAGATAGTTTTACTTAATACAGTACACTTGTGGCTGATTGTCTTTCAGAATCATCAGTTTTTCATGTAATGCCATTAATAGTTTTACTGAGCAATCCCATCAGGAAAGTGTTGACGGTCATTGTCATAATCCCATTCTTTTCAAACACACCGTCTGTTTCTGAATCTGTAAAAAAACAAAACTTACTTGAGCAATGGTTGTGTTGTGGTGGTGTTTTTTTTTTTTTTAATGAAACAATAACTACATATATATATATTACAGGCTGATCAACACTACTAAATCAGTTTTACAACAAAAGAGTCTCAAGTCTCACCAGTTACAAAAACAGGGTACCGGGATGATATATTTTGGACCTGCTGGTGGCAAAGGCATTGAAGATAGTTGGGCTCTTGTCTTGACACAAGATCACATTCATGGTAAGGCAAAATGTCCAACAGTCCATCTTCTTTGCATTTGTTCAATAGATCTGTTTTGTCTTTAGCTTTGGGACACAACCTAGATCAAATTAATACAAAGACATAAAGGATGATAGATTTAGGTTGGATAATAAATAATTTAAATAATATAATCTATAGTTTGTACGCACCTTGCATTTTCTTTGAGGCGACGACTGTCCCTGTAGTGCAATACCCACTTCCACCTGCCTGTTTGGCCGAGTTTTTGCAATATTTCTAAGATCTTTTTCATGTCTCCTAAAATTCCCAAATGTCTTGTTTAAGCATATTGATAGAAGAGATGACTTAGAAGACATAAACAAACAAATTGGAAATTTTTACTTGCCTGGGCTCAAGGACTCTACTGCACCTCTATCAAACATCACAAAACCACCTTTGATGAAGAGCTCCTGATATGTTAAATTGACAACATCATCTGGTTCATCAATCCCTGCAAACTGGACAACTGGAGACTTTCGAAGCTCAAGCAAATGTGGGACCTGAAGAAGATTGACAATGCAGTATCAGGTACACATTTAAGGGAAATAGAACATCAACAATTTAAGTTGTAGTAAACCTCAAAAATATGTCCAGCGATATCTTCATTTCTGATGATAACCAGTAATGGTGAGGAGCTGTTTTCTCTAATGAAAAAGTCTGATGGTTGAACAGCAATATGACCCTCTGCCTCCAAATGTGCCTAAAAAAAAAAAAAAAAGTGATAGAATTATTATAATAAATAAGTGACTAATGTTTTGTAGTAGTAGCAGCTGTTGGCAGTAATAGCAGTATAATATTTGTTGCTTATATTCTCTGTAACCAACCTGGGTTCTGTTGAAGAAGTCATCATCTGATGTGACTAACAAGAAGAACCGGTTCTTGCTTTTGCAAGATTTCTTCACCACTGAATTCAGGCTATTGTGAAAGCAGTCATCCATTTCCCTCTTCATTTGACTACAAAAGTCAAAGTAGTTGCTAGAATTAGCAGTTGAATCTTCAGAATCAGTCTTGTGTAGGTCTCTCAGCAGAGACGCATTCTTTGTTTCTGAACAGATCTTATTCATGATGTCCCTGTACAGCCGTGTACATTGGGCTGTGATAGCTGACACCCCAGGCTGTTCCAGCACTCCATGTGGTTGAGGCTTTGAAGAAATTTGTTGTGTGGAGCCTGTTTTGAGTTCTTCTTGTTTTTTGTCAGACATGTCTACACTTATTTTTTGATTAATAAATGCAGATGGTATCATAATGTCATCTAATACATCAGCTTGCTCCTGAATATGAGAAAACTGTACAGTTATGGGACAAGATGATGGCGATTGATTTGATTGATCACACTGGGCTCCTTGGTCTTGTTTTCTTTTCAAAAGTTGCTTCATTTGATCCAGGAAGATCAAACACTCGTTATCCATTGATGACTGAGTCGGGTCATCCTGCATACATCGTTTTGATACCTTTTCCAGAAATGAAGAAGCCTTTCTGCCACTATTGGATACTGTACAACTAAGTGAGCCTTGAACTCCCAGACTATCATCTGTAATTTTATTTGTTTTGGAATCTACAAATGATGTTGAGTAATTCAAAAGGTCTTCATCGCCAGTTTTATGATCATGCTTGAGAACTTGCAACTTGCTTTCATGAGATTCAACTGGCTGTGTGGACGTAGTAGGCGTTTGAGTATTTTGTAGTTCTTGATTGTCAGGCTCTTTGCACTTTTTTAGGACAAAGGTATCAGAACGGTTTTCATTTTGATGATGGGCTTCAAAAACTGACCCATTGCAAACAAAGCCTCCCTGTCGTGTCCTTTTTATAGAAAACCTTATAACTGGTTTTGACTGTGCATTACAATCAGGGTTTTCTCTTACTTTGCTGAGGGAAATATGTCCTTGTTCCTTAACAATTTGGGATGGTCTCCCAGCCACTCCAGGGCTTGACTGGTTTGATTTAAGGCCATCTTCTTCACCATTAACATTACTTTTATTGAGTTTGCCGGCTAATACATCACTGAAAGGTAAATACTGGGAAGATTCAGATTTCACTTCTGGGGGACAAGAATCACCCGTGCTGAATGTACTTTTCATAGATGTCCTTTTCTTTAAGCACAGTGATGAATTAGGTGTGTCTTCAGAGTTTAAGAGTGATTGATTCCTGTTCTGTAATGTGCTTAAATACTCATCTAAGCATTTTAAAGTTCTAAGAGTCCGTAGTTCAATATCAGACTGATTGCCAACATTAGCCATTGTATCACAATTAAATTCTTTTGGAGCTTTTTCAACCAAAGTCTCATCCATTACAGGTGTTAAGCTTGTACTGGGTTCCTTTTGAGAGGTATCTGGGCAAACTTTATCCAAATCATTTACATCAGAGTTAGACTTTAGTTGACTTGTGTATACAAATGGTTGTTCATCTATTGTTGGAGTAGGGCATCTATCATCTAGCTCACTGACAAGATCAGATGGATGGTTGACTTTACTTCCAGCAACAAGTTGTTCTCTATGTTGACTATGACCGTCATAGTTTGTACTGTCTGAGTAGGTAGATGTTGGTGCGGTGACTTCAGAGCTGTCTGATGGCACTACCTCCATATGTTCAAAACCTTGCTGATCTACCTCATTGGTAGAGTCACTAGTTTGCTCTAGTGACTTATCTTCAAGAGAGGTATTCATTCCAGTACATGTATTAACATCACAATACTTGTTGTTCTCAGCTTCATCAGTTGGGTGATGGTGTAAAATGTTAACTGTATTAATCACAGGGGATTCAATGGTTTTGACATACTCATCTTGAGATAAACCCAATCTGTTGCCATCTGTTGGAGGATTTTCAACCACTAAATCCTGTGTTCTCATGTTTATATCTTGACCTTTGAAAAGACCATCATTGGCTACATATTGTTCAGACACAATGGCAGAGTTTTCTAAGTGACTGGTTTTCTGTTTTTTTAATTCAACTAACGGATCCACACAAATAATGTTCAAAGGTCTGTGTCCACTTAAATTTTCAGCACAAGCTGTCTCCTTTGTTTTTTGATTAATCCACATATTTTCATTACAAGTTTTAGCAGAGTTTTCACAGACAGCTGTCTTTTTCAAAAGGAATTGGAGTTTCGATGTTTCTGCAATGGTGTCCTGCCGCAAGAGTTTCTTTAGGAGAATACATTGACCAACTTCTCTGTCATTTTGAGGTGAGGAAGAATCTATTTTCTGGTTAACTTGGCTTGAAGCAGCTTTTAGTTTTTCCATATATTTCTTCTTAATTTCCAAAAGATTGCTACATCTCACAGCATTCACATCTCCATTTGTAGGACATCGATCAGTTAAAGCTTTAGAGTTAGGCAAATCTTTTGCATGCATTTTATTTTCATTAGATTCTTTTTTATTTGGAGCTGATAAATAAGTATTCCTTTGGGTTCTTTTCCCTTGTCTTTTGGAGCTCTCTTGTCTTCTGATAGGCAATTCTCTTCTTTTGGTCAAGTTCTCAGGAGCATCCTCTATCTGTTGGGATTCACCTGACTCAGCAGAAGCCACTGAAGGTGTGTGAGCATCGTTGGTCAGCATGTTTGGATTGGTCATTCCATTTGTGATTCCATTCCAAACCGGAATAAACAGATGATTAATTTCAGAAGAATTACCATTATTTACAGGCATACTGACATAATTCAGAAATGGGGAAACTCCTGCAGCCGGCATCATATTCAAGTACCACTGTAAAAAAATAAATAAAAACATGTTAGTTGATAAAGTAGAAAAACATCTAGTCTAATCAAAAATAAAGCAATTACACATGAGCTAAAAAAAAAGAAGCAACTGCAGTAAAAATCTTACCAGTTCACAAACATCACTGAATATAATTTGATGTGAATCCAACTAAAGGCATTCCACAGACTTATAGGATTTTTCGGTCTTAAGAGCTTTTTAAATGTGCAACAAAAAGTGCACACCACAGACACAAAGATAATCTTTAATGATTTTAAATAATTTCAATTCTCTGATTACAAAGATTGCAGAGGGATATGGCTGCGGAAAACAGCCTAAAGTTGCGCGCACACCTCGTCAGCTGTTTTCTGTCTAGAGTAAAACCACATGCACTGGGACTCTTAAAGTGTTCAAAGAATCAGAGCACTGCACTTCTAGTTAAGATGCAAAACAAAACTGTGTAAAATTGTATTATTATTTGTGAAATGTGGTGTAATACATATACATGATTTTTAATGCACAGAAGGCTGGCAAAAAAGTACACAGGATAGTCACTATGGCTAATCTGCAGCTTCACCCTGATCCGTGCTCTGGGTGGATGTAAACAGACACACGTGAGGAACTACTCTCACCTTTTTACTTTTAAAGAACGCTTCAAACTGGGTTAATAGTGGACTGGGTGTCATTATTTGCAGAGGACAAATTCTCATCATGTGAATAATGTGGATGAGATGCTGCAGTTTAACTTTACAACTTTATGAGAGGTGAGTAAAAATTATTTTTGCTATTTCCTGAGTTTGTATGTTGCACCTCTGTGTCCATCACTCCTCTGCCCCTGATGCTATGTTTTATTGTCTTTTACCATAGCGTTGCTGATGTTTGTTGGTTACAATCTGACAGAGCAGCTCAGAGTCACACTGACACCACATACGAGGAGTGCAGCGGCTTCAAATTTGCACACATGGACGAAGTTGGGACATGCTTCCCTGAACTCAGGGAGAAGCAAATTGCAGCCAAAATTGGGCAAATTCTCTTGCAGTGTGTGGCAGGAGTGTGCAAAAATATCAAAATATCGATATATCGTACCATTTAATGTGACAATTCAGTATCGATATCGTGGGTTGCTGTATCAATATATATCGCCAAGAGTATTTTTTGGTATTTTACTAAATTATTTTGTTACAGTGCAATATTCACTGTTTTGAATAAAATGGGCGTGTTTCTTATTCACTTTGCACAAGAAGTGGTTAAACAAAGACTTTTAGTATCACAGCCATGATTTAGCCTTTATTTTTTATGGAACCGTATGGAATTGATTTGAAATATATCGTATTGAACTGAAAGTGCACTGTATTAAGATGCATATCGTATCGTGGCCTGTGTATCGAGGTATGTATCGTATATGCAACTTTTCAATGATACCCAGCTCTATGTGACAGCCTTTAAAGAAGAAACATAATGCTTTTGTCTGCAATATAGTTATAATCCATGAGCCCGTAGGACATTATTTAATACTTTTGGACATTTCACAATATTGATCAAAAAAGACAAAGTGTTTTGTGAGCTTTACGCCACGTTAGAATGTTATTACCTCCTCAAAAACATACCTGAAGTTGTTCACACATGTTTAAGTAAATTATTAGTCTGTCTAAATCTCTGAAACTCAAAATGCTCTTTTCCACTTTGTGATGTCCTGAAGGAGTAGATTGTACTGAATTTAAAAACACAGTGGAGCACTTGCTATATTACATGACATCACAAGTTGGAACTGGGTGTTTTTTGTTTGAGAGAATAACAGCCTAAATATGCAAGATTTGTGTATTTGTATGAATGAAACAAAAAACAATTCCATGTATGTTTGTAATGAGGTAACGTTACATCAGAAAATAGCAATACAAGCCCTTTAAAAAGACATGGGTCTGCTAATTTCCATTTGAAACCTACAGCGCTGACTTCATCTGCCCCCTATGGTGCATCATTGTAAGGCCATAGGATAATCTGAGTCTAGAGCTTAACTAGACTCAACTAGAGCTTAACTTTTATACAAATTTTATTCCTCAAGAAAAAATAAATTCCTTTTTGTAGCAATAAAGTACTAATAAAACTTTTACAGTTACAAAGAGTTAAAACTAATTCCTCAAACCTGAATGGGATGAGTTGTTTGCAATCCTTGAGGATTTAATGTGTTCAGTTCTTCTGGAACTTGAGTCTTCACCATGAGCTCTTGTGTTTTGGCTTCAGGATTCTCATTTGAAATTTCCACACTGGACAATTTCAGTGATGAGTTCAAAGAAACAGGTTCGGTGCCTGTGACACTGTTTTTGGATTTGCTAAGATCCAAAACTTGTGCTTCTGGCTTGTCCGCTACATTCAGTAAAGGACCGTGCACAGCAGTGTCTGAGGCTTTCTGATCAGGTCTCTTTTCTTTGGACCCTTTCACTCCATCTGGAGCTGGAAATGTGATGTCTGGATCAAAATGAAAGAACCGAGCAGTCGACCGACTGTAAAACAGACCAATCCACATGTGAACGATGAGCTGTACTTCTTCATTGCTGTCATGAATAGAAGAATCCCAGGGGCTACGTAAGTGTAAACAAAAAGACACACAAACAGTTTATAAGTACTTCAATAAATTATAAAGAGATTAAGTACAAAGACATACCCGTGTAAGGATCTGACAATTGTTTTGTCCTTAGGATCTGCTGTGAACCGGCTGTCCAGATTAAAGTCATAGTCTTCCTTCCAGTGTCTTGTGACTTGAACGGTCTTATCCCTGTTCTCGATTGTGCGTGACAGGCAGAACTTTCTTCTGTACCAACTCCTTTTGGGGTCTCCTGGAGCCATTTTGTTTTGTTCAACTTTATCTTCTGGACTGACAGGAGGCTTTTGTCTTGCTTCACCCCACAGTCTCTGAGCATGCAGCAGTCTAGAGGAACCATTTAAAGGTGAAACCTGGAAAGGTGCTGGCAACGCCAACGGCAAAGAGGGAGATGAGGGCAATGAGTAAGCATGTTCTTGATATATCACATCAACCAATCCAGTGCCTTCAAAACAGTCTGGTGAAGGACGTTCTTGTTGCTGAACAGATTTAGCAGCAGGCTGTCTAAGCAAAGCATGAAGAACTGTCTGATTTTCAGGATTGGTAACATTCGCCTGAAATTCACACTCTTGTGCTGGATGGGGTGAAACCTGTTCTTTATTGTCACTAAGTGCCAAGTCAGCCAGTAAATTCAAAGCCTCTGAAGATGTGTTTGTTTTTTCCTGAATTATCTTCCTGACTGAAATATCACTTAAACACTCTTGGAATTGTTTTTCAGCATAACAAGCTGGGGTTTGAAAATGCAACCACCCTGTGAACACAAAACAAAAGAGACAAGAGAAGAATGAAAAATGTAAAAAACACATTTAAAGCATATAGATCACATCATTATATTGTTGCCAAGATGCAAATAGAGCATAGATTTTTGAATGCAATGCCACACCACCAAAAAAGTGAAAGAGGACAATCTTAGAGGATATTAGCATGCATTGCACTACAATGAACCAAAGACTTTAAGACAAAGCGTTAGTAATTTAAGAGCAAGAACAGTTACAGGTCATACTTACACTTCTTTTTTACTTGATCTGCAGAAAGGTTTTGATGCTTTTTAAGCATTTTAAGTCGAGTTCCTTTAGGAGATGAAAGACTTTGTGGTTTGCGATCTTTGGTTGCAAATATTTCTTTTGCCCCAGATGAGTAAGTTCTGTGCACTGCTTTTGTATCTGTTTGTATATTTTGTGTACTTTTGGGAGTCAGACCCAGAGCATGGGCAAAAAGAGGGTCAGCTGAAAGTGAGTTGGGATCATTTTGATCACCTACAGCAGACTCCTGGGTGCATGTGTCATTAATGTTCCTTGTAGTTGCAGGTGCCATGTCATTCTTAATCCTTTTTGGTCCAAGCTCATTGTCCACAACACAATTTGTATTCAAGCCCTCTTTGAGGGCATCAATCTTCCTCTTTTTAAGAATAACAGACTTCAGTTTTCTGAGCATGAGCTGGCTCTTTGATTGTCCTGCAATGTGAACATCCTTCATGTGGTCTTTTATAGCTTCAGATTTAGACGTCATCTCCTCAGTAAGCTCTGTTGACTCTTTATTATCAGTGTTGCTCATTTGTTGCTTATTGTCCGAATCATAAGAGACTTTATTAGAGACATCAACTAATGTTTCAGGAAGCTCAATATTCTCTTTATCAAGTTGTAGTTTCTCTTGTAAAAATCTTATTTCTCCAGTCCCAACAGAGCCATAGGGGACAAATATACTCCCACAGGTGCTAATAACTGGCTTTAGACCCGATCGTTCAGACTTTTTCCTTAAAGCGCAAGTCTCCAGTTCCTTTAATAATGCATTATCAATAAGAAATACTTGATTTAGTGTTTTTTGAAGAAGGTTGGTTACTTTCTTGTTCATTTCTTTGGATTTCACACTTATCTTCATGTAGTGATAATTCCTGTGTGAGAACATCCAAACAGATTGATTCATCTTTATTTCGTGAAGTTTTGACAATTTTTAAGCCAGGAGTTTCAGTGGATTCCAAGTTATGTCCTTGAGGTATCTTATCTAATTTATGATCTGAGCAGTTCAATGTTATTTTGCTTTGGACGATTTCATTAAAAGCGGCCTCTTGTATTTTAGCTGTCACTGAAAGTTGATCTTGCTTTATCACATCTGCGGAAGTGATACTGACAATCAACTCCTCAGAATGTTCAACAGTTCTCAACGGCATATCTTTTGTTTCCATAGAAACGTCACTGTTGTCGGTAAAAACAGTGGAGTCCAGTATCTCAGAGGTTTTCTCTTGAGCGGGTAAAACACAAGGTACCAACAACTGAGAGGTCTCAATAGGTGAAGAACATTTCTGGTCTAGTCTGTCCTCTGACTCAGTGCTTATCACAGTGGTTGATGGCTCTTCTGGAGATGACAAACAGATATAAATGTCATCCTCAAGCTCTTCCTGTTGTGCCTCTTGTCCAGCTACTAAGATGTCCGAAGCCTTGCAAACAGGTAGCTGAAACGAGTTTGCATTACTGAAGTATGACTTCAGCCTTTGCCACTGAATGTCTGTCCACTCAGGGGTTGAATACAGGTGCTGATGGTCATCAAGCACGTCATATTGGTCAGGGAAGATATCAACTTCTCGTAAGGGACTTAGAGGAAGACCCGGACTTATCAGAGTGGCATAACTCTGCATATGTTGGACAATTACGTCACAGAGATCTTCATTTGGCTTGATGCTTGTTTTCTCAATTTCTCCCTCAGCATAGCTCAGCAAAGGCAAGACACGTAGGGCATCTGATGGAACGGTCTGCTTCGTTCGTTCAGTTTTTATGTCTGTAAAAGAAGATCCAATTTTTTTTTTATTGACAACACTTTTTGAAAAGTTGCAAACACTTTATATAATATGTAAAATAAAATTACCTCTCTGGGTAATTTGTGTCTCTGGAAACACAAACACACCTTGCAGCACTTTATTGGTGGTTATCTCATTATCTGAAATGATAAAAATGAAATGAAAAAAATGTAAACTGACAAAATACAACATTTTAAATAACTGTTAAAAGATTTACTCTACTTCTACCTTTATCGTGCAAGATAAAATTGGAGTCATGAATTAGGACCAGAAAACCCCCATCATTCAATGCAATAACAAGTGCCTAGAAGGAAAACATACATAAATGAATCAAAGCAATTATACAACAGAAACAGACACATGAAGCAGAAAACTCACAGCATCTTGTTTTTTAATTTCCAGCAAAAGAGGTGTCAGGCGCTCTTTTTCCTCCAAACTTAAAGCTACTATTTCACACAGACTGCAGAATATGTGTTCTAGAAGAGCTTAACAATAGAAGCAAGTAGGTTAAGATTTTTAAGAGCATAATTTGGAACTAATTTGTCAAAAGTTGTATAGCACCTTGTCCATTAAAAGTTGTTTCAAAGATGGCTTTTGGCAGCAACTTTCTGAGAATTAACATCGAAATCGCATATTCAACTTTAATTATTGGAGACCTAAAAACAGAACATGAAAAACATTATTATTGTATGTATGTATGTATGTATGTGTGTATGTGCGTGTGTGTATGTTTGCGTGTGTGTGTGTTTGCGTGCGTATGCGTGTATGTATGTTTGTGTGTATGTATGTATGTGCGTGTATATGTGCGTGTATGTATGTATGTGTGTATGTGCGTGTGTATGTATGTATGTTTATGTGTGCATGTGTGTGTATGTTTGCGTGCGTGTGTGTGTTTGCGTGTGTGTGTATGTTTGCGTGTATGTATGCGTGTGTGCGTATGTATGTGTGTGTTTGTATGTATGTGCGTGTATATGTGCGTGTATGTATGTATGTGTGTATGTGCGTGTGTATGTATGTATGTTTATGTGTGCATGTGTGTGTATGTTTGCGTGCGTGTGTGTGTTTGCGTGTATGTATGCGTGTGTGTGTATGTATGTGTGTGTATGTATGTATGTGCGTGTATATGTATGTATGTGTATATGATATTATCTTTGCAGTGGCTTACAATTTTGCCCAGGCCAAGGCACCCGCTGTTGATCTAATCCCAATATCGAATATCTGGGCACCGATCTGAAGTTTCCCCATCCAGGGTGAATATGGACAAGCTAGAAAAAAATAAATGAAATAATATAATGCGCTATATTTTGAATGATCTTATTTGGTCTTCACTTTTAGAAGTCTGCACATACTGCATTTATGAAGGCACCACATGAGTTGTTTTTTCATCCCCAAAAATAGTTAACTGGGATCTTTTTCTATGACCTGCAAAAACTCTACCTTTCTCCCTCAACTAGATGTACTGGTCAGGAAACCCTTTAAATCTATCTTATTTAACAATACAGATTTTATTTTATTGTGAAATTGTGACAATCAAAAGCAATTAACAATAAGTGAAGTGTGTGCTTTTAATTAAATATTACCCCATACTGTCCTATTTCCTACTGGAAAGGCAGGTTTACTACAGCCATTTTGATTCCATTTCTTTTTTTTGTTAAGATGTTACTATTTAGCTAATTTATTTTGATCTCATGTTACAAGTCCCTGTAATGAAAATAATCAAAATCTGTGCATAAACAAAACAATAATAATACTAATAATAAGTTATCACTTACCAGCTTTTTTCTCTTCGCTGCAAAGAGAGAACCAATTATTACATCATAAAAAATATAAAAACAAGCAAATTTACATTTTAAATCTTGTTTTTGAGAGTGGCTCTTAACTTACCAGTTTTTCTGTTGGGTTTCAAGTGTTACTTTGCTGTCTGTGTATGAAAATGCTACAACCGCATACGGACAAACAAGGCTGGGAGATAGGGCGGTACTTCCATTGTCAAGCAACTCATATAAGTAGTACTGAAAGGTAAAACAAAAGGTCTTAAAATATCATTTGATATCAAAGCCTCAATTCATTATGTAAATTTTACATCCACATTGGATATAAGCAAATTATAACAAATTCAACCACTATTCAAAAAGATAAATAAAAAAATGTAACCATAATCAAACAGCCATGTAATTATCAAGGTGTGTTTGGTTGACTTAAAGACCATGTACCAAGTCAAGGGATGCTAAGGTATTGGTCAAAAGACAATTATTTGTGTGCTGTTAACGAACTGTCTGACCTGTTACTGGGTCTTCATGGGCAGTTACATTGTACTTTGGCATTTGTGAGTTTCATTATATTAACTCACATACAACTGTGACTTTTATCATAAAGACCTACATATATAATAGCCAATGTTGTAGGCTAGTTCTAGTTTAGGTCTAGCCCATTTTATTTTTTACTATCTGATTGTGATCACTTGATGGGCTCCACATGTAGAGAAGTCAGCAGTGCCAAGACCTAGAGAGATGTTACTAGACAAGTCTAACTCTATGACCAAAGTCCAACTCCTCTGGTCTCGACTTGATAATGAAATGAGTCACAAGCCTGAGTGTGGGACTCGAATAATACATCTCATCATTCTTTATTGAAAAAGGGCCATTCCTGCTGAATCTTTAAATGCAAATGGGTTTAGTTTATTTTGGCAAAGTTTCAAGTGTTTCAGAACTATCAAGTCTGACAGGTGTGACTTTGTCCGTCCCATGTCTTCCTGTAGGTTAGGGTGGGGCCATAATTGAGGTGTCACTACTGAGCTCTTTCACAACTTTTTAGTGACGACTTCAGCTCAGGCCTAAAACCATGTTTGATGTAATTAATACAGATGAGGGACAAATCTTAATGTAATTACAATAAGTAAACTGCTTGTCATGCAAATAGCCTCTGTGCACAAAAGTGCTGGAATCCTCACTGTCAGCAACTCTACTTCCTCTACAATTTTATATCTGTGGGTTTTTTACAGAGTTGTGCCATGAATAAATATTTAAAGATAAGGCAGTCAACAGGAAGCTGTTAAAAAGTATACAAATAAAATTAATACTTCAAATCAATTTGAATTTTAATAGTACCTGTGTCCTTTCAAATGCCAGAAATGAGCTTGTTTTTGAAGAGACTGATGGCAACTGTTCAGAAACATGGCAATCAAACCCCACTGTAGGCTCAGTCAAGTTCTGAGTGTAGTTTTCAGAAACCTTTTTAATTCTCCCCTGTGCAGAAAATATGGTTCTATTAAATAAATTCAAGCAGAAAAAAAAAATACTACTACCTACTTACCGCTGTAATCTTTACAATGGCAATGTACCCTGACTTCCCGTGGTACCAGCAATTTAGATCCAAACAGTCAGAGTACATTGACAGATACACACCTATACAGATAGAACATTGGCCTGATTACAACATATCCTTGCTACTACATTCAAGCACACAATTATAGAAAGCCATGTTTATTGATTACAGCAGCCTTTCTTACACTGCTACTTACACTGCACAGTGTCTATCAGAGACACACTGTTGTGGATAAGGCATACTGTGAAGACTCTTTACCTCTTTAAAAACTGGAGAAGTCATTCTGACTTTTAAATAGTCACTGCTAATTGACTGCATTAAAGAAGATTTTTTTTAAAATAATTAAAAAGTGAACCATGTGATTATGTAAAACAATTGGGGTAGGACTCCATAAGTTTTTTAAACTTCATCCTACTCCTTTTGAGCACCAGGTCCCAAATATGTCCATATCACTGTTTTTGTTGTTGTTTTTGAATCTTGTTGTACCTGGCTCAAACTAATAAATAAATGAAATGAAATGAAAGATGAAATAGGGTAGACGTTCAAACAAAAGCTAGTTTGTCAGGCTTGTCTGCAGTTCAACAGTGTCTCAAGTATCACATTTTTTCACTGGTAAAATCCTAGTGGGAGACATCGTTATTAATGAAATATGAAGCGAATATTAATGAAAGACAAAACTAGGTGTGTCTTGCATAGGTGTATCTTGACAAACAGGTTGTAAATGTTGAGCAACGCAACACTAGTGTGTGAAGTTGGAAAATTACCTCAATCATCTTGGTTTGTCATGCCGTAGTTTGGTTAAATTTTCTATGTTAAAAATGGCCTAGTTTGTGTAAAATGTATGGGACAGCCGTGAGAGGAGAGTTTGATGTGTGAAATCTGTCTGCCTACATTGTTTAATTTTGTGAGTGTTGTAAGTTCATACAGGCTGGGTACCTTAATTGGTGTTTACACTAAATAAGCAAAATAGTTTAAAAAGCTCATTTAAAGTACAATACAGTAATAACATTGTTGAGACAACTTAAAGTAACAGTAATTATGATTGTAATTCACTAGTCTCATGTTGTTTTTCTGAAAGCTAAAAATTACTTAACAATTTGTTCACACATAATTTTTCTCAAATTACAGTCCCCATGCTTTACTTTGTCTGATTACAAAGGGTTAAACCCTTTGTGTTAGACAGTCAGTTTTACAAATTGTTTCTCTTTCACTTTCAAATGTTATAACCTTAAACATATAGGTTTCACTTTCAAAGCCTGAGGAGCAGCAGACATATTAATATGCACAGATTCCTTTCTATTGAGTATTTCTAAGATCACATGGACTTTGCCTTTAAGGTATGGTAAATACTTTTTACAATACAAGGCCAATGCAATTACTAAGCTATACATTTCTACCATAGAAATAGTAACGTGAGCCTGCTAGGAAGTGAATGTAAATATTTTACCCTTAGTGGGATCTCCCAAAGTTGTACATGTCCCATTTTCAGCTATCAGACCAGTTTCTCCAATTGATTTTACCTTCAAAAAGAATTATGATTAGTGAAAGCACGGTTTAAAGGTGTGGCAACACTTCCATTTAGTCAGTAGCCTACCTTGTTCAGTTGATCAAACAATAAAAACCCGTAGGTCTCCTTCAAGTCTTTGTCTGAATAACCTTGTTCTCTCCTTTTCTCTCGACAGGCATTGTACTGATAATAAAGCATATACATTACTTTTCTAATGTCTTTAGACCTATATTGTATTTTTTCCCCATAATTTAAATTAGTAAAATTATTCTGGCTCATTGTTGTCACGAACCGTAACATGGGCCTTTAGCTGAGTGGTGGGTAAAAAGTGTAAAAGTAAACTTACCTTGTCTTCTAGTGCGGGATTTTTAATCAAAAATGCAGACGTGTATCTGAAAGAGTGCTTTGATTCTTCAAACAAATACGCACTTTGAAGTTGTGTCAAAATGCTGTCGTTAAAGACGTCAGAATTCACTGGAACAGGTATAAAAATACCTACAAAATAAAAAAAAACATTGAAAATTAAAACCAGCAGCAGCACATGCGAGTCAGTCCCGAGAGACCTAAAGTCCCGATTGTTTTCACTTTCAGCTTGTTGGTAAAAGTTGTGCTATAAGGAGGGACTGTACTTCAACCAGCAGCCACGACACCTGATATAGGCCTACTGGTTATTTAGGATGACACATTTTGGTCCAAAAAGCAACAAATATTCCATACGGCTATTGTAGCTAAGTAAATAGGCTAACAGTATTCAGCTATGACATAGAAATTATAAAGACCTGTGTTCGATGAAGCGCCATTACCACTTTCCATTGCTCAACACTTATGAAATCTGTCCTTCTCCTTTTGGCATGTGTGGAAAACAGCCCCGTCTGGTCCTAAACGCAATAGCATTACTAAAAATCCCCTCAAATTCGTTGTCAAAATGTTCTTTAAGTGTCGTTTGTCCTTTCAAAACACTTTGTACAGACATGGTTCCACGACGGCCAACCAGGAAGTTAAAAATCTTCGATGTTTATTGCGTATGCCATTTAACCACAGAATGATTCCCTTTTTCCGCCTTTCCGGGTCAACATATGGTTATTTCTAAATGTCCTTCCTCCGCGTAATTCCAAATAACGTGGGCAAACGCATTAGGTTAAGAGTTGGGGTCGAAAAAGAAACAGAAACCTATCGAGCCCGTGCATCCATCTTGAAAGCTTACACCAACTGTGGCGCTGTTGGTGCATTCAAGTTAGTGGGAAGCCTGGCCACACTTTTACCGTTTTACTGGTTTATCTGCTACTGCGCCACGGAAGCATGCCGAGTACGATATTAACCATAGCCCGCATTAACAATAAAGTTTATGGTATTGACACGTGGGACGCGGAAGTGATGTGAAGTATTGGAAATGTACCGTTTACCACGCAGTTATATGCCTATTAGTACGCAACGTTAAAGTTTCTAGTTTCATTTTTGTCGAGTGGTATCCCTACAGCACCACATTGTGCAACTGCAGGTGATAATAAACTACTGCATACGTTTTGATGAACTCCTGAAGTGTGGCTAGAAGTTTAGTAAGCACAATCTCTAGTGGTAGGGCGGGCTTTTATTAAAAGTATGTAAAGTTTTGCAAGTTTTGGGGGAAGGAATAGCAGTGCAGTGGCTGCCTTTGGTACTGCAGCAAAAAGACAAACATGGTGAACAACATCTAGCCTGGGATCCAGAATAGTTTTCAGAAAATCACTCAGTCAACAAATTTCATTTTGTGAGGAATGAGAAAAAGAGGAGATTATTGGTTATCTATGGTTTAGAAAAAAATCTCACTTTTGTCACCTCAAATTAAGAGTTTGGTGCTTAGTTAAATGAATAACTTTTCCTTTCTTTTTCCCATATTTGTTTCACTACAGTGTACACTACCATGTGTGTCCCTGATTGGTTAATCCACTTGTCAACCAAGGCCATTTGAACTAGGGAAGACAACCTTTCAAAACATTGGAAAAGCATCTAGGTTAAGTGTTATAGGGTTACCACTTCCTGAGTGAAAAATCGCACTTAGCGCTCATCTCATAATTTCCACCGTAGGACTGGGAAATTATTTTAATACTTGAGTTGCAGAGATAGACATTAACCATTACCATAATAGATGTGAAGTTTTGTTTAAATTGCCATAATTTTTTGCTCCTACATATGTGTTTTCGCCATTGGACACTTGAACAAAACACCTATTTCCAGTTCAGGTAGAAAAAAATCATCATCTCCATTATGTAGGGAGCTAGAGACCACAGGTCTGCATACAAAAGGTTCACCTTGGGGTGTAGTGTTAACTCTTGGCACTGCTCTGTCTGAGGCTCTGTTACTCAAGTTTCTTCAAGGTTTTCTTTTAACACAATCTGTCCCTAAAAAACTAGTTTAGTGATTTGTGCATACAATTACGGTCACAGACTAACTAGCATTAGCCAACAGGTTAGGTTTCAGTTTTAGTTGAGTTATTCTCTCTCACCTTTTTGTTGAAATCAAACATCTAAACAGGACCACGAACACCATGAAATGTATTGTTTAATTCCATTTTGTTCCAGACCTGTATGTCTAATGGCCCATATTTTCTGATCTCTGTTATGTTTCCTCATCACAAACATGCCTGGAGTTGTGTTTTATTTATTTCACACATGTTTAACAAACAAACCATCATATTTCATATATATATATCATATTTAAACTGAATTCTTCTCTGAAACAGAAGACACTGTCTTGGTCTGTCATGGTAATAAGGGAATATTCCACTGTGTTTTTAAACTCATCATCATTTAGATGATTTCAGCTGTGGAATTTTCAATCACTATTGAACTAAAGGTAAAAGATAGCTGTTAAATTGAAAACTACCACTAAATGACATCACAAGGTGGAACAGAGCAATATAGACAGACTAATATAAAAGATTACTCAAACGTGTGAATTTAAAGGCACCACGGAGAATGACCACTGAAGTGCTGACAGTGTGGTTGTCCTCCATCCATCCATATTCTTCTTCTTATCCGGGACCGGGTCACAGGGGCAGCACTATAAGAAGGGATTCCCAGACTTCCTTCACCCCGAACACTTCTTCCAGCTCTTCCAGGTGGACCCATGAGCCGTTCCTAGGCTAGCTGAAAGACAGTCCCTCCAGCATATTCTGATTCTTCCCCAGGGCCTCCTTTCGGTGGGACATCCATGGAACACCTACTGAGGGGGGTTCCCAGGAGGCATCCAGAACAGATGCCCAAGCCACCTCAGCTGACTCCTCTCAACGTGGAGGAGCAGCAGCTCTACTCCGAGCTCCTACTGTGCTGCTGAGCTCCTCACCCTATCTCTGAGGGAGTGCCCGGCCACTCTGCAGAGGAGGAACTCATTTAGATTCCGATTGTATCTGCGATCTTGTCCTTTCAGTCATTACCCAAATAGGGTATAGGCGGAGTTTGACTTTTGCGCTAGGGGTGGCAAACATTTTAATGTCAGGGCACTAGATTCAAAATTTAAAGTGTGTATTAACATGTGCACAGTAAGGAAACACCTTGCCCTGAACAACTACTGTCCACTCTGCTGTGCATTATAACTGTTCTGTGATATTATGCAGAATAGTTACACAACAGTACTGTTCATAAGCCTCCCATAAAGCCAAGCTACGCAGGGGTACACCATCCACTTCTCCTGATGTGAGATATTAAAAAAAATAACTAATATATGGTGAGGTGGGGAGGTGTGCCCACGTAGACTGTCGGGTGACTGGTGCAGAGCTCCCCATCCCTGGAACTAAGTGCAGCTACCGACAGATTGAGCTTTGTGGACAGGCATGGGATTCTCTCTTGCTTAAGTCCAAGATTATTTGTTTTAGACCTGGTTCAGTCCTGTTTTAGTCCTGGTTTAGATCTAGTTTACTCCTAGTTCCGTCCTCTTTTAGTCCTGGTTCAAGCTAGGATTCATATTTATTTCATAAAGTCCTCTTTTTAAATTAACATATTTAAAATATTAATAAATTTTTTCAAGTAAATATTTGTATTGGCCATACTATAGACTCAATGTCATGACATATTTCAGCCACTGGGGGGGCAGTGCCACCTCTGACTCCACCTATGTATCCCCCACAAGATACCAGGTCCACAAAGCACATGTGGACTGGTTGGACAAACTGCCATGAACCCTCGAGCACCTGATGGAGAGTGTAGACCTGGTCCAGTGTTCCCCAGCAGGGACGAAAACCACACTGCTCCTCCTGAATCCAAGATTCGACTATCGGTCGGATTCTCCTCTTCTGTACCCTGGAATAGACCTTACCGGGGAGGCTGAGGAGTGTGATTCCCCTGTAGGTGGAACACACCCTCCGGCCCCCCTTCATAAACAGAGAGACCATCACCCCAGTCTTCCAGTCCAGAGGTGCTGTCCCTGACTGCCACACAATGTTGCAGAGACTTGTCAGCCATGACAGCCCCACAATATGCAGAGACTTAAGATACTCAGCATTGATCTCATCGACCCCCGGAGCCTTGCCACCAAGGAGCTAGCCAACCACCTCAGTGACTTCAGCCAGGGTGATGGACGAGTACATCTCCAAGTCCCCAACCTCTGCTTCCTCCTCGGAAGACGTGATGGTGGGATTGAGGAGATCCTCAAGGTATCCCTTCCACCATCTGACAACATCCCCAGTTGAGGTCACCAGTGCGCCACCCACACTGTAAACACTGTTTGTGAAGCACTGCTTCCCCCTCCTGAGGGGTGCCTGAGTTTGCTAGAATTTCTTTGACGCTGACTTTTAGTCCTCTTCCATGGCTTCTCTGAACTCCTCACAGCACTGAGTTTTAGCTTCCGCAACCACACAGGTTGCAGTACGCTAGGCCTGCTGGTACTCATCAGCTGTCTCAGGAGTCCCATGAGCCAACAAGCCCCAATAGGACTCTTTCTTCAGCCTGACAGCATCCCTTAGTGGATTACCACCGCAACAGGCACCGCAGACCTTATGACCACAGCTATGAGTGGCTGCATCGACAATAGAGGCCCAGTTGGACTTCATGTCCTCAACCTTCACCTGAATCTGGGAAAAGCTCTACCAGAGGTATGAGTCGAAGGTCCCCCCGATAAAGGGCTCTGCCAAATGTTCCCAGATGACACGACGACAAAGTCTATCATCGACCTCCAGCTTATTGTGTCCCGGTGCCACATGCACTGATAGATACCCTTGTTCTCAAACATGGTGTTCGTTATGGACAAACTGTGACTAGTACAGATGTCCAATAATAGAGCACCACTTGGGTTCAGATCAGGGAGGCCATTCCCCTCAATCACCCCTCTCCAGGTGTCATTGTCATTGCACATGTGGGTGTTGAAGTCCCCCAACAGAACAGCGAAGTCCCCGAATTGTGCACTGTCTAGTACCCCTCCCAGGGACTCGAAGAAGGTCACATTCTCTGCATTGCTGTTCGGCCCATAGGCCGACACAACAGTGAGAGACCTGTCCCCCACCTGAAGGCGCAGGGACACAACCCTCTCATTCACTGGCGTGAACTCCAATACATGGCCACTGAGCTGTGGGGCAATGAGCAGACCCACACCAGCTCACCCCCACTCTCCACGGGCAACATCAGAGAAAGTCTAGCACCTCTCAAGGAGATGGGTTCCAGAGCCCAAGCTTTGTGTAGAGGTGAGGCCGAATATATCTAGTCGGCAATGCTCAACCCAACCTCCTACAGAAGCTGAGGCTCTTTCCCCCCAGCGAGATGACATTCCATGTTCTGAGAGAGCTAGTCTCCATGTCCAAATATCCGGTCGTCAAGGCCCCCACCTTTGACTGCCGCCCAAATCTCTTTGCATTTACTCGTTCGGGCAGTGCCATGGTGGACTCTGTAGGGGGAGGTCCATCGAGCACCCATCCCAGGTTTGGCTCCAGGGTGAGGCCCCAGCAACACCAGTCCAGGTGACATAACTGGCCTTGTAGACCTCATCATAAGAGGCTTCTAAATCGCTCTAACCCATCCCACCAGGATCTGTTTGACTTGGGTGACCCTACCAGAGGCATAAAACATATCTCCCGGCATCAAACCCCTCCACCAAAATAAGGTAGCGGTTCAAGGTTCACTTTTAATGCATTCTAAAAAGTACATGTCCAAAAGTTGCCGTTTTTATGCTCGCGTAGGGTGAAATACGTGTGCAGTGTGACCAGGTCCTGAGGGTATAGGGATGATGACAAAAAATAAATAAATAAAATGCATGTAGAATCATGAAATTTGACACAGAAGCAGATCATGACAAGATGAGTAAAAAATATTAATACACCAATGGCGTCTGCTCCACCAGAGAACAGCAATGTGTTGCACAGTGCTTTTCCTATAAACGTCGTACTTTTACAAACTCCTCCTTGGGCATTCACCGGAACAGATGCACATTTGGTACACATTATCTCAAAGGGTGCGGTATCAAAAGTTATCCACATTTTTGACACAAGTCTTACCCCCAGTTTACACCAAAACAGTAACAGCGTGTAAGCACAGAAGCACAGCATACGCGCAGGTTTCGCTTTCCATTTTAACTGGACACTTTACACCATATGTGCCTCCAACGGCCGTCATTACACTACACACCGCTCAAATTAGATTGGAGATCTAATTTTTCAGGATTTTTAGCAGGGGCAAGTCAGGAAATAAGTCCTGCACGGGTCCATTTTTGGAGACCCGCACCCATGCAGTATAGCACCACAACTGCCTGTTAACCCATGATTATATCAAAGTTTAATCCACACCAGCCCGGACCTGACGTAGGCTATGGAAGTGACGTAGGCTATGGTTTAAATACTGTAATTGTAGCCCCGCGTAGGCTAACGTTAAAACCCGCCCGATTCAGCAACTATTTGCGGGTACCCTGAGTACAGCTGCACAAATTGTATGGCATTTTATGGGTGTTTGAGGGACACAGCATTTGCGGGGTGCCGATAGCTTCAGGCTGACGCAGAGGTCTGAGGCAGAGGTGAGGTACAGTGAGGCTGACTGCTCTTCAACTTCCATGTCCTACCGATGAAGAACCAGTCTGTCAGTGTCCAGCTCTGGGCTTCCCTTTTCTCACAGCATCTGAAATGGCATCAGTGTATATTAAACACCCCATTACATCTCTTATTCTTGTAAGGAGTTAAGAGTTAGGGATTTGAAGAACAATGTAAGTCATGACAGTGGGCTGTGTGATTTGAACATGAAAGGTGAACACTTGATTGGAGAGATCTGTGCACTTATAGAGGGTCAATCTTTAAACTCCACTACTTTATGTTCTGAAAGAAACAAAATGTACCACAACAGGTGTAAACATGTTTCGTTATGAAAGTTAATAAAGGCAGGGTAATACAGTAAACTTACAGAGGGCCTGCCTCAACATTTTGAGAACATGGCCCACCAGAGGGAATTCTGTAATATATCAAAAAAGAGAAGCACAAATATCCACAGGCCACAGTGTTTAATACAACAAGTGCAGTATTTACTTCCAGAGGGTCTTTATCATGCCCTTATGGCCATCCTATTATTAACCATAGTATATTCTGAAACAGAGATGAAAATGTATTCATTATTTAACATTATTTAACTAATAGGAAATACTTTAGCACAGTATAATTGAACTAATTTGTTTTAGTATGAGCCTGAGTATGAGCATGAGACATATTTCACTGCTGTACAATATACAATACTCTACTACATATACTTTTACCACTACATTTAAAAAATAATAATCAATTTATGATGGCGCTCATGGTCAATATCAGTGTAATTTAGATGTGTCACATTAGTGGTCATGTCAAGATGTCAGATCTTTCACTGAACGCCTGAAGCACCATCTCAAGACAAAATCAGATCTATCTACAAACTCAATCCTCACTGTCACAGAAACCATGAAAAGTACTTACTTCTGATCAGTGTGCAGGGGCTCCTAATGGGGACACTCAGCAGAAGGGCTCATCTGGGGACAAGAACATAAGTTTTGATTGGTTAGCCTTAGTTAACTGTTGTTACGTTATTGTATTAAGGCACCAACATGACTGCACGTTGGTCTTAACTCAACAGTCAATACTCTACAAAAATAATAATTAACTGGGGTTAAAAATACAACCAGCTCAGACACCGGTGTCACAGTCACTCCACAGCCAAGGGGAGAGCGTCAAAACTGGCATCCAGCCAGAACCGAGCCTGTTAGACACGACTAATGATCATGGAGCAGAGTTACAACTCTGTGATCATAAAAATATATATGAATATAAGTAGTGTTATATAAAAATAGTATTTAGACTGCGATCTACCTCAAGAGATGGAGTTGTCCAGATTCCCGACCTTGCATCTTCTTCATCACATTAGCTGCTCCTGTCGCTAACTTTATTGCTACTGCACTTGTCAAAATAAAACACACACAATCACAGACATACAGACGTCACAATCTAACGTTAACATTATGCACATTAATGATAACTAATAAAATTAACTTTTTAAACTGGTTCAAGTCCTATCTAGAAGACAGGAAGTATTTTGTTGAAATTGGAAACTGTGTCAGCCTCACCTCCACGCACAGTTTGGGCTCTGGATCCCAACTCCTTGAGAGGGGCTGGACTCTCCATTTCTCTGGTGTTGGCCGCGGGGAGCGGCGGCGAGGTGGTGTGGGCCTGCTCATTGCCCCACAGCTCAACCGCCGTGTGTTGGAGTTCACCCCGGTGAACGAGAGGGTCGTGTCCCTGCGCCTTCGGGTCGGGGACAGGTCTCTCACTGTGGTGTTGGCCTACGGGCCGAACAGCAGTGCAGAGTACCCGGCCTTCTTGGAGTCCCTGGGAGGGGTATTAGACAGTGCACCAACCGGGGACTCCGTTGTTCTACTGGGGGACTTCAATGCCCATGTGGGCAACGACGGTGACACTTGGAGAGGGGTGATTGGGAGGAACGGCCTCCCTGATCTGAACCCGAGCGGTGTTCTGTTATTGGACTTCTGTGCTAGTCACGGTTTGTCCATAATGAACACCATGTTGGAGCACAAGGGTGTCCATAAGTGCATGTGGCACCAGGACACCCTAGGTCGGAGGTCGATGATCGACTTTGTAGTCGTGTCATCTGACCTCCAGCCGCGTGTCTCGGACACTCGGGTGAAGAGAGGGGCTGAGCTGTCAACTGATCACCACCTGGTTGTGAGTTGGGTTCGCTGGCGAAGGAGGAAGCCAGAAAGACCTGGCAGGCCCAAGCGTGTAGTGAGGGTCTGTTGGGAACGTCTGGCAGAGCCCTCTGTCAGAGGGGCTTTCAACGCGCACCTCCGGGAAGACTTCTCCCGGATTCCGGGGGAGGCTGGTGACATGGAGTCGATGCGGCTGCTTGGAGCTGTGGTCGTAAGGTCTGTGGTGCCTGTTGCGGCGGCAATCCCCGAACCCGGTGGTGGACACCGGAAGTAAGGGATGCCGTCAAGCTGAAGAAGGAGTCCTATCGGGCCTTGTTGGCTCATGGGACTCCTGAATGGTACTGGCGGGTCAAGCGCGCTGCAGCCCGTGTGGTCACAGAGGCAAAAACTCGGAGCTGGGAGGAGTTCGGGGAGGCTATGGAGGAGGACTATCAGACGGCCTCAAGGAAATTCTGGCAAACCGTCCGGCGCCTCAGGAGGGGGAAGCAGTTCTTCACCAACACTGTTTACAGTGCGGGGGGAGAGCTGTTGACCTCGACTGGGGACGTTGTCCGGCGTTGGAAGGAATACTTTGAGGATCTCCTCAATCCCACCATCACGTCTTCCGAGGAGGAAGCCGAGGCTGGGGACTGGTGGCAAGGCTCCAGGGGTGAATGAGATCCGTCCCGATTATCTTAAGTCTCTGGACGTTGTGGGGCTGTCTTGGCTGACATGCCTCTTCAACATCGTGTGGCGGTCGGGGACAGTACCTCTGGACTGGCAAACCGGGGTGGTGATCCCTCTGCATAAGAAGGGGGACTGGAGGGTGTGTTCCAACTACAGGGGAATCACACTCCTCAGCCTCCCCGGTAAAGTCTATGCCAGGGTACTGGAGAGGAGAATGCGGCCGATAGTCGAACCTCGGATTCAGGAGGAGCAGTGTGGTTTTCGTCCTGGCCGTGGAACACTGGACCAGCTCTACACTCTCCATCGGGTGCTTGAGGGTTCATGGGAGTCTGCCCAACCAGTCCACATGTGCTTTGTGGATTTGGAGAAAGCATTCGACCATGTTCCTCGTGGTGTCCTGTGGGGGGTGCTCTGGGAGTATGGGGTCCGGGGCTCTTTGCTAAGGGCTGTTCGGTCCCTGTATGACCAGAGCAGGAGCTGTGTTCGCATTGCTGGCAGTAAGTCAGACCTGTTCCCGGTGCATGTTGGACTCCACCAGGGCTGTCCTTTGTCACCAGTTCTGTTCATTGTATTTATGGACAGAATTTCTAGGCGCAGTCAGGGGCCGGAGGGGGTCCAGTTTGGGGACCACAGGATCTCATCTCTGCTGTTCGCAGATGATGTTGTCTTGTTGGCTCCATCGAATCAGGACCTACAATGTGCACTGGGGCGGTTTGCAGCCGAGTGTGAAGTGGCTGGGATGTGAATCAGCTCTTCCAAGTCCGAGGTCATGGTTCTCGACCGGAAAAAAGGTGGCTTGCCCTCTCCGGGTGGGTGGGGAGTCTCTGCCTCAAGTGGAGGAGTTCAAGTATCTCGGGGTCTTGTTCACGAGTGAGGGGAGGATGGAGCGTGAGATTAACAGGCGGATCGGTGCAGTGTCTGCAGTGATGCGGCCGCTGTATAGGACCGTTGTGGTGAAGAGGGAGCTGAGCTGAAAGGTGAAGCTCTCGATTTATCGGTCAATCTTCATTCCTACTCTCACCTATGGTCATGAGCTCTGGGTAATGACCGAAAGGACAAGCGCTCGAAATGAGTTTCCTTCATAGGGTGGCTGGGTGCTCCCTTAGAGATAGGATGAGGAGCTCAGTCACACGGGAGGAGCTTGGAGTAGAGCCGCTGCTCCTCCACGTCGAGAGAAGCCAGTTGAGGTGGCTCGTGCATCTGATCCGGATGCCTCCTGGGCGTCTCCCTCGGGAGCTGGAGGACGTGTCTGGGGTGAAGGAAGTCTGGGAGTCCCTGCTTAGGCTGCTGCCCCCGCGACCTGGCCCCGGATAAGCGGAAGAAAATGGATGGAAACTGTGTCTCAGATCACATGGCCCTGACCTGTGGGGTGCCTCAGGGGTCAGTCCTGGGCCCCCTGTTGTTCAATCTCTACATGCTGCCATTAGGCCAGTTAATAAGGAGCAATAATGTGTCCTACCACAATTATGCAGATGACTCTCAGATCGATGTCTCACTCGCAGCAGAAAACTATGGACCAGTGGACTCACTTTGTCACTGCATCCACCAGATCAGTGAGTGGATGCAAAACAACTTTCTCCAGCTAAACTCTGACAAGACTGAAGTCATGGAGTTTGATCCACAGAAACAAAGAGACAGTGTGAGCTGTCACCTCCAGTCTCTCTCTCTAAAACCTTCAAATCAGGCAAGAAATCTAGGGGTAATAATGGAATCAGACTTGAACTTTAACAGTAACATCAAATCAATAACATCTGCAGCCTTTTACCATCTAAAAAACATCGCAAAAATCAAAGGTTTACTGTCTAAAGCAGACTTATCCATGCGTTTGTCTCCAGTAGGTTAGATTACTGTAATGGTCTGCTTACTGTCCTCTCCAAATGAGCTGTGAGACAGCTGCAGTACATTCAGAACGCTGCAGCTCGGGTCCTTACTCGAACTAAGAAGTACGAGCACATAAGTCCTGTGCTCAGGTCTCTGCACCGGCTTCCTGTGGCTCAGAGAATAGACTTTAAAGCAGCTCTGCTTGTGTACAAGTGTCTCCATGGCCGAGCACCAAAGTACATCTCTGACATGTTAGTGCCATATGAACCATCTCGCACTCTGAGGACCTCAGGGACCTGCCTCCTGCTGGTGCCCAGAGTCAGGACTAAACAAGGGGAGTCAGCATTTCAGGTTCACGCAGCTAAAACCTGGAACAGTTTTCCTGAACATGTGAGACAAGCCTCTTCTTTGACGCTGTTTAAATCCAGGCTCAAAACGGTTCTGTTTCACTGTGCATATGACTGAAAGGTTTTCATTCCGCACTCTTCTTTCTAATTTATGTCTCTCTTTTTGATTTTTAATCGTTATTATTATTTATGTTTTGATTTGTTTTTATTGTGATTTTAATGTATTTCTTATTCTGTAAAGCACTTTGAATTACTTTGTGTACGAATTGTGCTATACAAATAAACTTGCCTTGCCTTGCCTTAACAATTACTTACAGTTAAATCCGCGGACAGTAGGTGGGTGTTGCTTATTTCCACTCAGGTCCTGCTAACGGCTGATACGTCAATGGGGCATCCGCGCAGCGAATCTGAACCGGTTTAGCTGCGGATCCGTTCATTGATAGTACAAATCGAACAAGTGTTGTGTTAAAAGTATGTTCACAGTGCTGATATATGATGATTTAGCCACATATCCTCACTGTAACAGCAGGCTGCCCAAAGGATAGGGTTAGCAGCAGTCATAAAGCAAATACGGAACAAATATGCAGTAGATCCGCAAAGTGGACTTTGTGGGGCGGATTTGTCTGACCGAATGCGGATCCGCTGCGGATCCCAAAGCTATCAGGGGAGTTGGCAAACGCGAGGACCGATCATTGCCGCTTGCAGCTATATCTGTTAATGTTTTTAAGACCTGTATTAATAAATGACACTCGTATAAAGGCTACATGCATAGAAAAATAAAGTTACCCTACAAAACTATGTCAGGCGCGTGCTCGTTAAATTTGCGCCACTGGAATAATCGTACTACAACTCCCAGCATTCCTTGCGAACAGCTGAACCTGGACGGAACGACATGCACAAGGATTCCAGGGGGGTTCGCTGAAAATGCATCTTTACCGAAAGACACATGTTTACCCCAAAATATATATTACTGTTGGCTGAGTCCTAGTGGTGGGTTCAGAAGAAGGGAGCATGAAATGGACTTGACACGGACCAGACCGTCTTTGTATGGCGACATCGGTAAGGAGCTTATAGCATAGCACAGCTTGTATGGTCTCAAAACAGACGAGGACCGCGGTTATAGTTTTTATTGTTGTTAACCCGCTCTCTCAAGTGGTAAGTAAGGCCGTTTTCAATCCAAATTAGCTGTGTGTAGTGTATGTACTGTACTGTATGGATGAACTACCACGCAATTGTAATTTTTAAGTTAAAATGAATAATAATTGTCTTGTTTGAACGCATGGTGATTGCTCAGCATCCTTCTGCGCACACAGAGGATATGGGGGACCTTCCATGTAGGCTCAATTAATTTAATTACAATGTCGTAATAAGCTATTGTTTGGTTACACATTACTTCAAGGACCATCATTGCTCCCGTTTTTGAACTGAGGCACACATGGATGAAGAGCAAGTCAATTGAGAAAATCATAGTCATAAATAAAATTATAGATCAATAGGTTACTCTTTGCTTCAAATATTTCCAGCCCATGGACTTGGATTCTGGACAGACCGGTCAGCTGTACATGAAGCTGCAGCCCAGGGCAGAGTTGTCCAGCTGCAGCAGCTAATCGAGGATGGGGCAGCGGTCAACATTGTGTCTGTGGACTCCATCACTCCTTTACACGAAGCGTGCATACAAGGACAGACCCAGTGTGTTAAACTGCTGCTGGCCGCTGGGGCACAAGTATGCTTAGTTTGTAATTCACCTAGTTTTCTGTTCTATATTACGCAAAACTGACTCTTGTGAGCTTTAAGCCACATTAGAATGCTGTGACATCATCAAAAACATATTTGGAGTTGTGTTTTGTTTCATTCACACATGTTTGATTAACCTTTTATTAGTCTGTCCACACCTACAAAGCTCAGAATGCTCTGTTCCACCTCATGATGTCATGATTTGGAAGTTTTCAAATTAACAGGCTACCTTTTACCTTTAGATAGGTAGAGACTGGCTGAAATTATCCAAATGATTCTAGTGAAGGAGTTTAAAAAGACAGTACAGCGCTTCTTGTATTACTACATGACATCAGAAGTTGGAAAGTGGAGTGTTTTCCGTTACAGAAAAGAAGTAAATATTCACAGTTTATGCGTTAAACATGTCTGAATGAAACAAAACTAAACTCCAGGTATGTTTCTGATGAGGATATAACATAATATAGATCAGAAAATAGCATAATATTTTAAACACCATTGGTGAAATGTGGTTAAACTGAAACCTGTGTATGCTGTTAGGTGGATGCCCGTAACATTGATGGTAGTACTCCGCTGTGCGACGCTTGTGCCGCAGGGAGCCTGGAGTGTGTCAAACTACTGTTAGAGTATGGGGCAACAGTCAACCCTCCACTGTTTACCTTCTCACCGCTGCACGAGGCCTGCATGGGAGGTGTGTCCTATCACATGTGACTTTTCCAGGAATGTTCTCAGTATTTGACCTGTTTTTGTTCAGGTCATTTAGCTTCAAACCTATCTATAAACACAATTCAACTCAACATTTTCTATCAGCTCAAAAAGAACATACTGTAAATCAGATCTAAAATGTAACAAAGTAAATTATCAAATTAAAACAGTTAACTTCAAGCCGGAGTTCCTAATTCTCAAAAAAAAAAAAAAAAAGTTTTATAATCAAATGAGTCAAAACTGTGTGTGTTTGGGGGGAACTTTCATATTTTTTATAAGACTTGCTCAATGACTTCTGTTTTTTTAGGTAACTCAGACTGTGTTCAGATTATGATTGACCAGGGAGCTTTGATGGAGGCACATGACTGTCACTATGGGACACCTCTTCACGTGGCTTGTGCCAGGCAGCATTATGACTGCGTTAAAGTCCTTCTTAATGCAGGTGAGTAGTCTTCTTTGGACACTGATAGACCTGTGGAGGTATGCAATATTTATTTGTGCATTTAATAGTATTTTTTTTTTCTTCTGGACATGGTTAAAATGTAAACACAAATATGAAGTAAAACTTGTTGAGATTTTCCTCAAATAGTTTAGATATAATATGAAAAAAATATGGGAACAATTGTGATTAAGCTACTAAAATAGAATAAGAAAATCAGAAAGTTAAGCATGATGTAAACAAATAGCTAAAATCAGCTGAATGTAGATATATTTTTTTTTCTTATTCTTCAGGTGCAAATGTGAATGCAGCTAAACTCCATGAGACTGCCCTTCACCATGCAGCCAAAGTGAAAAACACCAGTTTAATAGAGCTACTGGTGGAGTTTGGAGGAAATGTTTATGCCAGAGACAACATGAACAAAAAACCCATAGACTACACAAGTCGTGGCTCTCCTTCTTATTGCTGCCTTGAGTTTTATGAGAGTAAGTTTACAAGCATGCACTCACAGCACGATTATAAAGGCTGATTGTGTTATCTCTTTTTTTTCTTATCTTAGACACACCACTGACCCTGCAGCAGCTTTCCAGGGTCACTCTACGCAGAGCACTGGGAACAAAGGCACATGATGTTGTATCAAAGTTGGGCTTGCCCAGTCGAATCATTAATTTTCTTTGTTATGCGCAGCCTCCAGTTTTTGAACTTTAGCACTTTAAATATTGGTTTAGATGCCCTGTTATGATAAAGCTACACATTAATGATGATACTTAATCAACTTAAGTTTAAGCGTTGATTGGTTATTTAAATATTGTTTTATTCCAATAAGTGAATGGTATCAGTATTTTACTCTGTATGTTTATGTTTTAATTTGTCACTATGTTCATTTTCTATAAAAAGTAACTTATTGTGTGCGTTAAAATTATGTCATGCATGCTTGGACCTCCAATGTGTCTTTATGTTCTTTGCTTCACTGTGTCTCACAAGACACTTGATTTCTGCAGATGACCCTCAAGCGGTTTCCTGAACAAACATTGCATCACACCAAGTTATTGACAGAAAAAGGAAGTAACAGACCACAGAACATTTAAAACATCAGTTTGCAATTATTCAGTTAAATCATACTCTTGACAACTTGACATGTACAAACTAATGATTTTTATTTTTCTGTGTCACATTTGTGTTGGCCATTTTTCAGTTTACAATTTCTGAATCAGAGCATTTTTCTTTTCATACATTATTGATCCCAAAGCACAAAGTAGAAATAGCACTGCCATTTGACTATTAAAAAAGTATGAATGGAGGCAGTAACATGTTGTAAAACAAGCAAACATATAAATCCCTAATTGACACGTGTAAACATAAGCAGACATCACAAAAGCACATTTTGTAAACTAAATACACTGTTTGCATGAAATTTAAGACTTGGACGGAAACCTTTGCAGAAGCTTTTGTCAGTGCAGCTACAGGCAACAAAATAAAACCAGCAGTGGTTGAAAATCACACGAGACTCATGTAAGGTTTAGTTTGTTTGAAAGGGCTCATTCTTAAACTCAACATACAAGTCTAGACTCCTGTTTCCTTTCTCTTTGCAGTGACTTGTGAGCTTTGATCCACTCTGGTTTTTGAGACAGTCTGGGGTCTTAACTTCGGGCCAGAAGTGGGAGGAGGGCTGTTTTCATCCGTTTCTTCTTCACTATCTTTAATAGTGAATGAGGAAGTAGAAGAGCTTCGTTTAGGTGCAATGACCTCATCCTGAGCTTTAGGTGGAGCCCTCTGATGTTGGGCTATGGCAGCGCGCAGGCAGTTTAGCCATTGCTGCTTGTGGTAGATGTCATTGACATGCAGCGTGTGTGACTGGCCATGAGCTGGATCCACGGAGCTCACACGAAAGACATTTTTAGCTTAAAGAAGAAAAAGGAATCATAAATAAGGCCTAGCAGAAGTATTCTGATTTTGTGCCTACTAGTGCCACAACAGCATATAAAAATAAACTTCCAAGTCATAGACTGCATTAATGGACAAAAATCTAAGTTGTTGCTTTTTGCAAAGTTAACTTTTTTAAAATTATTTTTTAAATCTGTGATACAGTGATTTTTGATTTTTTTTTTATTGTTTTGCATTGTTTAGCGCTTCAGGTTTCTTGTTTTGCAATTCCTCCTTATGTCACATACCTTTTTCGCCAGCCACAAAGGCCCCTCTGAAGGAACCACCCATTCGGATCTCTCCGTCCTGCAGGTCCTCCAGAGCCAGGTCCCGGACTGGGATGGGCTGACGATAAACTTGGAAACAGCTCTTCTCATTTCGAGTCACGGGACGGGTCAAGATCAACAACTCAGAGAACAGGAACACATGCAGTCTCTGGAGAGAATAATAATAATTATCAGCATTTTATTTTTTTCTATACGTACAAGCAGCTCTTTATCAACAATATAGGTAATAAAATAATGAACACAATCTACAGTATGTTGATTGTTAAATTAACGCAAACTACTAAGTGATAACTGATCTTTAACCCCAAATAAATAAAATGCATTTCTTACCGAGCCACTCTTGTTGCGCAGTTCACCATGACAGAGGAGGGTCTTACAGTCATCTATGACAGGGTCCCGCTGTTTCTCATCCAAATATTCAAGTTTATCTTTGTAATACTGGCACTCGGACTCCCCTTTTCTCACATTTATGTCAGACAATATGTCCTGGATTATGGTTATCTGAAATGTAGATGACCAAAGGGTTTTAAGGGTTTGTTTGTGTATGGACATTCAGAGATTATATATATTCCTGTATTTTCTAAAATTGTGTATCACAGAGAGCCACTAGCCTTGACCTAGATTAGATTTATAAACGGGGTAGAATGTGCACTACCTCCAGAGAAGGAAAAAAGAACCCAGCCTGAGACATAGTAAAAATAAAAGTAACTACTTAAATCCAGTACAGAGGCTAGATTTATGTATGTATGTATTTATGTATGTATGTAAAAAGTACAAAAAATTTTAAATTATAAAATAAATTGTGAACTTACAGCCGTCTCCAGACTGGCCACATCCGGGTGATCAGGAGGAGTGTGTCTGAGTATCTCTCTGAGCAGCAGAGGATATTTGACCAGTCGTGAACGAGGGATGTCCAGGAAGCTCCAAAGGTCTAGTTTTCGGCTGAAAGGGGACTCAAGGCATCGCTGCAGGAAGTCCTGCACTCGCTTATCCTGCTTCTTCATGTCCAGGAGGGCTTTGGCTGCCAGTTGGTTACTGCAGTAGCCTTTGTAAGCATTAAGGCCAGGCAGCTAAGAGTAAATGATCACATTTTTACTTTTTTTGTTTTAGTTATCCCTTAATTGATAGAAACAATACCTTGTAGGTTTATTATGATCAATATACAGCTTTTTCAGAATGCAGTAAACTGATGTTACAAATATTTTATTTTATTGTATTGGTTATTTAACCAGAATTTGTAAGATATTTAAATATAATAATCACCTACAGTCTGGAACTTAACACAACTGATATGTATATCAAAATCTATTTGGGGAAGAGCTTTTTTGTCATTGCAATGATCTCTTTGATTAGAAGTCTATCACCCTCTGCTGGCAACAGCAAAAAGTCACTACTATATAAGATCTTCAAATTATTTGAATGTTGATAAAATAATTGCACTTACCCAGTCTATTACAATCTGTCCAATTTGAGCTACAGTTCCATCAGGACCTGTTCCGTCAGTTAGTTTCATTAAAAGATCTGCAATATAAATTCTTATTACATTATAATTACTCACAGGCACACAAAAACAGTCTCTTAAAAAGTTAAATACCCTGATGTAAAGGGATATACGCATCAAGGTCACCAAATATGTGAGTTAATTCCTCTTCAGTCATGATGGAGAGCTTCAACATGGGATCATGGTATGCCTACATAACAAGACAAGACTTCAGATTTAGAAAAGGCTTATAATTATGATCTACATTTGCTTAAAAGTTGAAATAACCTTTCTAGCAAGTTGAAGATCTTCAATCAGATCTTGTTCTCCCCTATACAGCTCATAGATTGCCTAAAAATAAAAATGTATCTAAATAAAAAATATAAATTTAGAGTTTTTTCATCTTAAGGTTTTAAAGGTCTACTTCTTGTCGTTTGATCTCTTTGGTGGAGAATGTACTCTTCTGATGTACGTCCAGCGTCTCAGACCATAGCGTGCTGTTTCGCCGTTTGGTTGGTGTGGGACCTGCTGCTTTGCTATTCCCTTTGAGCGTCATACCCGGAGACTTGCTGTCACTTCGTAAAGACATAGACTAGTAAAAAAGCAACAACAGACAATTCAAGGTCAGATTTGAACATTTCAGACAAATACATTTTACAATCCAAAATATTTGTTATGTACTTGAATTGTTTGTCCAAAGCGGCGGACTGCTCCATTTTTGGAAGGTGAAATCAAACTGACGAGGGATGAAACCTTGGCTAATGACCTCACGCGTTTGTTGTTTGGTTCCTAAATTAAAATAAATTCACATGTTTTTTATTTCTTATTTAAAACTTACAGTATCAGATTAGAATGATGCACATATTGAAAGATTATATATTTCTGACATAAGCACATAATGTGACCATTGCAATGTGCTTTAATATTGACATTTAACCTCACCTTCAAGTCAAAACTTGACAAACTGACTGTATCATCGTCTTTGTCTTTGCGCTTTCTCTTCTGTGGAAAAATAAAAATTATATATATGTGTATATATATATATATTAGTCAAGTGTAAAGTAAAAACACCAGAACTTACCAGACCAAATTCCCATGGTGTCCCAGGAGTCAGAAATGTGAAGGAACTGCCCCTTTGTAGAACATGTCTATAAATGAAAAAACAAAACAAAATAGTCACTAGTTACTAGTAGTCATAACATATAACTAGTATTGAATAGGGGTGTACAAAAATGCTGAAATATCGATATATAATATTGTTTAATTACATGATACTGTGTTGATATCGTGGGCTGCTGTATCGCTATATTGTCAAAGATTTTTTATTTTTTTGTATATTTTACAAAATTATTTTGTCAAAGAGCTACAGTTGTGTTGCATGTTTAGAGAAAGGAAACTTGTTTATGCAGTACATTAGACATACTCACTGTTTTCAGTAAAATATAGTATAAAGTTAGTGGTTTGTTAAAGACTTTTAATAAAGCCTTTGTTTTTTACTGAAACGTATCAAATCGATTTGACATATACCAAATCAGATCATATGGAATCAAAAGTGTACTGTATCGAAAAATGTATCGTATCGTGGCTTAGGTGAGATATGTATTGTATCGGCAGCTTCTCAATGATACCCAGCCCTAGTAGTGAATAATGAACAATTATATTTTATTACATTTTCTAAGATGCATGCGTCATCCCATCTGTCTGGCCTTCCTCCCCTTAGTAAGAAATGTGTGTCAAACTGACAACAATATGCAACAGTTACAAGGTCTTGGTGGATATCAAGACGTCTCCTCTCTTAATTAGGAATTCAAATAGTGTGTGTGCGTGTCTGAAGGCATAGCTAAATTGTCAAATAAGAAAAGAAACGATAACAACTTGCTGAACTTAAGTAAACGTAAGCACATTTATGGATATGGATTTATGGGTATTTTGAAACCGGATATTTATTGTTTTGAGGCGGATATACTTAAAATGCCTTAAAATAACATTTAATATTTTATTCAAAACAAAATGGAACATTTAAACTAAAAAGCTGCAAAACCCCACAGGCTCTACCCAAGAATTGTGTAGCTTTCCGGTATGTACGCGAATGCATCATTAGACAGTTACCTATGCGTCACAGCTAGCAAAACAAAATGAAAGTAGTTATGTATTTAAAATTCCCTGTTTAAATGTGTAAGCTGACCGGTTATTGAGTGTGTACGTGCTCCCATTTACACATGTACCTACTTCTTTGAGCTGTTTCTCCGGAGCAGTTTGGGGGAAGGATCGGTAACGCTAATGATACTGGTGGTGGACGTCCGCGATGACACTCTACGAAGTCTCTTTTTATTACCCATAGTTCCGCAGATATCCTCGTTTTCTTCCATTTTCATGGAGGCTCGGCTTTGAAATTGGTTGCTGGAGTAAAATAGCGTAAAATAGAGTAAAGATCGACAGTCTAAACGAATAAAAAGGGTCTTGTTTGGTACAAAAGACAGAGAAGAGATCGATGACAACAGAACACACAGCACGGCGGAAGTTTGAATATGGCGGATTCTTGGAAATGGACCAATCAGGAGCGGCCTGTGGGCTCTGTTGCTAGGAGACGATGAGATGGGAGGGGTCAAAAACATTTCAATGGAGTGAATGGGGAAAGACCTTGAATGTGTTCAAATCAATGGTTCAAATGAATACCGTACCAGCGGTGAGTAGTTCATGGTTTTGAGAATTATAATACGCTATAGGAGGTCTTTTAATAGAGATGTTAACGCATTTTTAAATGCACGTGGCTGAATGACCTTTTTATGTGTTAATAAAACTGAAGCCCATGTTAACATTAATTTAATGGTTTCCCATATTAAAAGCTAGATTTAACTGTAACTGGTTATAAGTGTTTTCGAAATAAAGTTGGATTAGGTTGGGTAGTTTGACAGGCATTGACATTAGTTTTTACAATATGGCATCCACAATTGTTTACTTTCTTATTGCAGGTAGCGGGTTGCTGTGTGTGCATTTAAGACTAAAAACTTTTTTTCTTCATACAGTCATACAGATCTCAAGGTAGAACTCACATATAGAGGACACAATGAACTCCCTTAGAGCTTTGTCCTTGATTGAGACATTAAATATGCCATGGGGCTATTTGTTCCGGTATAATCACGGTGCCTGTCACTCACATAAAATACTGGGCCTTACATCAGTGTTCACTCCCTTAATAAAGGCTGGTGAGAGGGGGCCATTTGTAATCACATCCGATGGCTAAGACATGTTTTGTGTCCGCATTTGACATGAATGCTACTCCCTTCTTTTTCCATACTTAGGAATATTTGACTGGACTCTTGTTGACCTGCTCCAATTTGTCAAGCTGCTTATCTATTAACCACTATGGTTTGTGGTTCAATCCCATGCTTCCTCCTTATGTCCTTGGCATGTTACTTACATTACTTCCAGTGTAAGGAGATAATTCTCTATTATCTGATTCATAGAGTTGTCTTTCACAGTTGAAGCTGAAGCATTTCTGCACAGTGAGTGCATCTAAAAATCACTAAAGCATCATGTTACAAATGTTTTAATTACAACAAGACAAATCACAAAAGACACACACATTTTTAATTATCATAATTTATTCTGTTGTTTTTACATTGACCTAGAGTAAGTCACCTGGAAGACAGGAAGTGCAGTTGTTCAGTGTTGACAAAAGGAGGAGAAATGAAAAACAGGACAGCAGCTGGGACCAGTTTAGTTCCAAACAGAGGAGGGCAGTAGTTTACCCAAACATGACCTAGATTTTTTTCCTGTGGCACCAACATATCATAGTTCACTATTTCATTCATTTACAGTACTGTGCACGTGCTGAGTGTCCACCTCCCAAAACACTGATTTCATATGGTGCTAGAGACCATATTCAAACATCTATGTCACCAAAAGAAATCAGTTTCTGGGGGCAGGAATTAAATTTATTGCATGTTATGTTATGTTTAATACCTTTAATTGTACTCTTCTTCCAACTTTTGAATCAGCCAATGCCAGACTACTATACTCAGATCTCCTACCCACAGTATATAGAACATTCTTAATTTGAAAGTTTATTTCCAAAGTGCTGCACAAAAATATTATCTCTACCTATAATATAATTACACATTTAATGTGTTTGTTAGCACTTATATTATAAATCAGTATTTGGTGATGTCAATAATTGGGCTGTTTCTTGTTACACTGCTGGAGCTGACCCCGTGGTGGAGGAAATCCTACAGTGAGGCAGAGTTCAGGGAGATATTTTGGAAACTGGGTCGTCAGCGAAACCTGCAGGAAACTCCTCTGTGTGTGCGGCCGCTCCACTTACCTCCAGTTTGTCCTGCAGCCCTCTGCTGTGGAGCACCATCATTACTGCAGTACATCAGGCAGAGAGAGGTGAGTTAGTGCACGGGAAAGTCAAACTGAGAAGCACTCACAGACCACAGCCAAGGCACTTGTCCCATCTTGGAATTAATAATGACAGACTTGAATCTGTCTCTTAACCTAAATCATGTTTTAATAGCAGTATGAAAAAAACCCGACAAGAGTAAATTATAATATAGAAAACAATACAACTAATAAATGAGGAGACACATTTTGTTTTAATTATGTAACGTGAAAGTGTAGGCTATTTACAGTGCCCTGCAGCTCTGACTCATGTTTAGTCCCATGTGGATCAATTTAAGTGTTACATGTTTATGACACATGGATAATCACAACACCTCTTCCCCATAAATGTCCATATAAGGTAAAGGGTTACACACACAAAAAAATAATAATAATAAGAGTTTATATATATATGTATATATATATATATATATGTATATATATATATATGTGTATATGTATATATATATATATATATATATATATATATATATATATATATATATATATATATATATATATATATATATATATATATATATATATATATATATATAGTATTATTTCCCTAAACAAACCTCCTTGTCAAAGACTTGAACATATTTTTGTATTCAAATATTTATAAGTGGCTAATAACAAAATGTTCTTTGTTTCCTTGACCGTGGTTTACCAAATGATTATTTTGACTCCACTGGAGGGAGTTTCCATCTCCACTGTTGCCAAGTGATTGCTCAAGTTGGGAATTGTCAGTCCATTCTGCCAAGACCATGAACTGGCACTAGATATAATTACACTGAACTGAACTTGGTGGAATCTCACGTTTCTCAATATCTAACACAGAATAAAGGCTTACTATTCAGTCTGAAGCAATTATTATAGCATAGGAATATAAAGTAATGTCAAATTTTCCTCTTTATACTGTTTATATTCATGTAGTAGTTTTAACCCCTGGATTGTTTTCAACTAAATATGAAGTTCTAAATAATTTCTAAATAAATTGGTGTAGCTGGTATTTGTTGGTACAATAAAGTAAAATATTTTGAGATTTCAGCAAATTGGATAAAATGAGTATTGTTACTAAGCCAAAGATGTTCATTTTGTCTTCTTATATACTTTAACTTCTTGGGTTCTTTTTAAAGACAATGCAGTAAAGTGTATTTACTTTGTTGACATGTTTCGGCTTCTAGCTGCAACCAACAACACCGGTTACAGTTCTGAAGATGGCTTGCAGCGAGCATTATATTATTATATAGTTCTCATTTCCTTTGGAACACAAATTTTAGGTCTGTATCACAATGCCATGAGATGATATTGAGATGACAATGATAGAGATACTTGAATTTGAAGTCAAATGTACTGTCTATGACCATGTGGGCCAATTCAGCAGGATGCCTGGGGGCCAACAAAATATTTTGGACACTCCTGGATTTGACCAAGCCTTTAAAGGTCTTATATTACACAAAACTGACTTTATTTAGCTTTAAGCCATGTTAAAATGTTGTTACCAAAAACATATGCATTATTAGTTTGTCTATATCTTCAAAACTTAAAATGCTCTGTTCCACCATGTGATGTCATGTAGTGGTAGTTGTCACGTTAACCTCTACCATTTACTTTTTGCTCAGTGGAGACTAGTAATTCCAGGGCTGAAATGATCCACATGATTCTAGTGAAGATGAATGGGGTTTTAAAACACAATTTTGTAATCCCACATGACAATACAAGGTGGAACTGAATGTTTTCTGTTTTAGAGAAGAACTCATCCTAAATACGCAGTTTGTGTCTTAAACATGTGTGAATGAAACAAAACACAACCCCAGGTGTGTTTTTGATGAGGAAACAACATTAAAACATAAATCAAAAAATACCATAATATGAGCCCTTTGAAAAAATGGGCAATCATTACTACTACATTACTACTACTTCAATAATAGTAAATCCCACCTTTCGCTTTTCAGGGAAATGCTGTTTTGAACACTCTGATGGTATGACTGGTCCATGACACGGTAGGCCCCTGGGACCTATCTACTGTAAGTGCACTGTAGTCATCTGTTTGTCTTTATAGCTGCCATATTTCCTCCCACAGAGTCACTGTCTGTCTATGGAGCTGTGTGAGTCAGTCAATCATCAAACTAGCAGAGCCAATGATGAGGTACAGATGGCATACAATGAACAAATGTAGCTTTATACTATAGAGTGGCTCATATATATAAGACTAAGGGGCATAGATTAGCTTTCATATTGGACGTGAACTGCTCCTTAGCTCATGCTTATAGGTGAGTTCAGATATAGGGCAAGGCAGAGCAATTATCTGTAATGGTGCTGTAATGTTATGAATATATGCAATGTCTAAAGGAGTCAGAGAGAGTCAGAGGCTTTCTTGCAAGATATATTGATGCAGATGCTAATGTGAACTCTTCAAAGGTTTGGTTCTGGATTTAGCTAAGTTTTGTTCTGATGCCATGACTTGATCCTATTCTAGTCCAGGTTTAGTTTCAGATCTTTATATAATGCATGTGCAAGTGTGAACAGGCTTGTTTTAGGTGCGTGGTGTAGGAGAAATAGAGATATGAGTTGGCAAGTTAGGTGTCCAGTTGAGTGAGAAAAAACGTAGACTTATTTTGTGACATTTAAAATTATATTCTTGAAACTACTGAAATTTCATGTTTTCAAAATGTATACTGAAATAAGTTGAGGTAGTAATTGGGGTAACAATTACACTATTAAAGATTAAATTGAATTAAATGAAGTGGAAAGTGTCCAAAAGTCATTCACGTCATACAATACTTTCCCCTTTTAATTATTTTTGGCACTTCTATTTATAGTCAGTTGTTTTGCAAATTAACTTGACGTGCTGTGGCAAGCCTCCATCTATTGTCACTTATCACTTAGCCATGTTTTGTTGCAGTCAGAGACAAGGTGTGTTGGAGGAATCTGGCCCACACAGCAAGAATGGCTTTAGAGAGTTTACTAAGCCACATAAAATAATCAAATTCATTTGAACATGTGTTTACAGACAGACCATGTAAAAATAAAACGGGATGTACGTCATGTGTTTACAAATAACCTTGTGACAGATGAGTCATTAAACGTTGCAGTGTTGCACATTTATTTCTACTGGAGATGAATGGGACACAGTGAAGACCGTGCAGTGCTCCCAAGTGTATCTGTCTGGAAGAGCAGTCATGGATTTTTCGAGGCATTATAGTCTTACTAATTACTCCATACTTTTAGGTCCTTATGAGAAGTCAGTGAATGCATAGATATTGAATCGCACAGTGAAGTTTGTGGCGTGTGCCATTGCTATATTTATACTTGTAGCAATGTAGGCCAGAATCCAGGTGTGGTCACCTGGCAAACACAAATGAACATCGAAGGGAATGATTACAGCTCAGAGATATTACATGTCTTGGAAAAGGATTGGACAATCACACAAGACCTGTAGTAAGTAAGTGTTTTATCATAGTAGCTGTATCATGTATTAACTTAGAGAAGGACCCCCTCTGCTGGATGTCTCCCTCCTATCACAACTTGTTAACAGTAAATGCGTCATAGGAAGTAATTTTAAAGTGGAAATGTACAGTACGTTTTATTTTTTTCAATTGGGATCGCCAATGCAAATTATCTGTTTCTTTGTGATTTATGCAGTGACTTGTATTTAATTTATATGCCAGATGCCCTTTCTGCCTGGTAACCTCCTTATTTTATCTAATCTTGAGCTGAAAGTTGCACCATGATAGTACATTGACTTGTAACTATAGCTGGTTGCATACATCAATACTACGATACATAATCCTATAGTGTATTGTTTTCACATATTGATT